GGTCTCCCCCCAATCTATCACCTGTAAATGTAAAAATACCTGGTTCAGGTGAAATTTAGCAGCAGCCAAAAACAAAAAAGGATTTCAGCGACAAGGAGGAGGAGCTGCAGTCGAAGTCAGAGTTGGAGTTGGAGTCCAGTCCCTGTTCCAGGTTCCAGGTTCCAGGGGAGGCTGCCTTGAGGCGCTGCCTCTCCCTCCACCTCCCTTGAACGTATTAAATTAATATTTACTTTTTGTCAAAAGGCTATAATCAAGCACGCTGGCGATGACAGGCTAAGAGGCTCTAATTACAGCTTGTTACCTTGATGCAGCGGCCACACAGGTCGTGGCTCACTTCGCTTCACCTTGGCCTCGGACTGGGCCTGGCTCTGGATCTCGCTCTGGATGTGGATGTGGATTGGAAACAGGAACGGGTTGGGCATGGAGCTGGGTATGTGCATGTGGCCAGTGCAGATGTGGACTTAGAAGCGGTTACCTTGGGCCTGGCAGGGGGAACTGCAGCGTCCGCGTCCGTCTTCCGTTTATGCTAAGTGGCTAGCGCCGTCGGTTGGCCACATCCTCATCCTCATCCTCGTCGTCGTCCTCGTCCTCCTTCTGCTGCTCCTTCTCTTGTCCTGCCTCTACCCTCCTTTTCCTTTAACCCAAAAAAATACTCGCGTGATCTTGGCAACAGAAAACACTACAAAAAATGTTTTTCAAAGGTTAAATATTATAAGAAATGAGCTGGAACATATATCTTTCAGAGAAACGGATGTTAAATGTAGAGTTAATCAGTAAGTATCTTTCAACAGTAAGTTAATATGAACAGTGAGTAGCGATGCTCAGTAATTAACAATGATCAGTAAGTATCAATGAACATTAAGTAACTATGAGCAATAAGTAACTATAAACAGTAAGTATCTATGCGCAATTAGTAACTATAAACAGTAATTAAGTATGACCAGTAATTAACTATAACCAGTAATTAACTCTGAACAGTAAGTATCTATGACTAGTAAGTATCTAAGACTAGCAAGAATGTATGACCAGTAACTATCTTTGAACACTAATAAACAATGACTTGCAACTTTTGTAACACAACACATACCTGAGAGTTGGCCGGTAGCAGTCACTTCGTTCCGGGGATGTTAGAACAAGTTGGGAATCATAAGCATAGATGTGCGAGATGTGTTTTGGCACACAATTCAAGCTTTTTGAATGAAACTATGGAGTTATTCTTCTATATAATTTTACAAATATATAAATCGGAGCATGGCGAATCAGTGGACTATATATATACATATATATACCCGACATAGGAACAATCGGACGATTTATAGAACCATGATCAGTAATAAACTATGACCAGTAATTAACTCTGAACAGTAAGTATCTATGATCATAAAGTAACTATGATCAGTAATTAACTCTGAACAGTAAGTATCTATGACCAGTAAGTTATTATGATCAGTAAGTATCTATGACCAGTAATTAACTATGATCAGTAAGTATCTCTGACCTGTAAGTATGTATGTATGAACAGTCACTATTTTTGAACACTAATAAACAATGACTTGCAACTTTTGTAACACAACACATACCCGAGACTTGGCCGGCAGCAGTCACTTCGTTCCGGGGATGTTAGAACAAGTTGGGAATCATAAACACAGATGTGCAAGATGTGTTTTGGCACACAATTCAAGCTTTTTGAATGAAACAATGGAGTTATTCTTCTATATAATTTTACAAATATATAAATCGGAGCATGGCGAATCAGTGGACTATATATATACAGATATATAGCCGACATAGGAACAATCGGACGATTTATAGAACTATGATCAGTAATTAGCTATGATAAGTAATTAACTATGACCAATAAGTAACTATGATCTGTATGTTTCAATGACTTTGACCAGGAAGTATCTATGGCTTAGTTATGATATTTTTAAACTTAATTAAACAAACAATTTTCATATAAAATATAAATAAATATCGACTAAAAAATTGATTATAATTTTAGTTTTAAGCTTGTAACCATGTGAAGGAGTCATTTCCGACCCTATAAATCATATATTTTCTTGATCAGGATCAACAGGGGAATCTTTCTAACTATCTCCGGGAGAAAAAAATATTTTTCAAAAATTTCCCATTTTTGCGAAAAAAGGAAAGGGGTTACATCATTAAAATTGGCAAAAATTTGAATTTTTTACATTTTAAACTGATTATGCAGATTTATTAATCCTCTAAAAACTAGCATAGGACAGCTTTCCGAATTGAAATTAATGAATTTTTGGCTTAGTTATATGATTTTTAAAATTTGATTTGTTGAAAAATTTGTCATATAAATATTGATTATAAGAATGTGAAGCTTACTTATGATCAATTTCCAATTCAATCCTCTAACTTTGGCTTTCCGAAGTAAGGTTCCTTTCTTAATATATAATAGTTAATTTTATTTTGAAGTAGAATCTTTCCTTTTCCCAGTGTACTCACCAGCTTATTCCCTGCTGCAGCCTATTTGAGGGTTTAATGCACTGCCTCCTTGGCCTCAGTCTCCATCTCCTGCTGCTCCCTGTTACTCCCTGATCCTCCAGCCTGATCCCTGCTCCTTCTGCTCCTGATCCCCCCTGCCTTTAGTTTGATTGAAGCCAGCAAATTAAAATCCCCTGCCAGGTTTTTGCTCGCCAGAGATCTCCCTCCAACTCCATCTCCTCCTCAAACGATCTCCATTCACTCCGGCGGTGGTGGTGGCATTCCAAATGCAATTCTCACGATTTGGCAGCCATTTGTGTACCTCAAGCCTCATCATCTCCTTGTAAGCTGCTCATTTGGCCTCATGGCACAGATGCTGCTCCCCGGTCAAATTAACCATTTAAATAAAACATTTGTTTTGATTTGCCCAGCAAAAAAGGAGCTGGGCAGGAAGGAGGATCTGAATGTTGGAGCTGAAGCTGGATGAGGGATGCCAACAAGCTGGCTGACAGGCGTGCGGAAATCACAACCAATTTGAAAGCAAAAGGGAATAAAACCAGACTTTATTGCACATATATTTATATATAAATATATATATACTCTCCAGGTGTATTTTTCAGATTTGTCACGCAAGCGGTTCTTCCCTTACATTATTTTTTACTGAGAGAAGCGAGTAATTAACTACAAAATTACCATTAATACCAGAGACTTGTTTACCTTATATTTACTTATCTTTATTTTTAATGTATCAAACATAAAAGCAAGCTTACAAGTTCCCTCTTTAAAGACAAAGATCAACAAAGTATAAACACTTAAAAATCCTTTGTGAAAATGTTCTTTAATTATTTCAAGTGAGTGGTGGGGGCATAACAAATTGTGTGTTTAAAATGTGATTATGAGATGTTCATAAAATTTGCTTTTTGCGGCCATTAAAATGAATATAAATTGCATGGAAATGGAAATGGAATTCAGTACGGCGAGTTCAGGAAGGTGGAATGGAATGGGAATGGCGGCTAGAACCGATTGCCCAAATTATCATTTATTAATTATGGTTTAATTTGTGTGGGAAGGCGGCGGATCAAAAATTAAATAAACAAAAAAGAAGACAGACAAGCAGAATACAAAAAACCAGAACAAAAACAAATAATAAATTCGGAACCAGGCACATTAAAATGCAAATCAAAGCCAATAAAGCACAACTCATTAAAAGCGCAACTAGGCGGTTAACAACCCGATTGATTCGGGCCAAAAAGAAAAAAAGATGAAATAATAATAATAAAATCAATTCGAATCGAATTTCAACTGAATAATCGTGGCAATCCGAAAACCACATAAATGGTCAAAAAACCAAGACACCGCCCACGTGCTTGAGTTAGATACATATTATCAGAGGTATTCCAACTTTAGTTAAAGTTAAAATATATCTTTGTTCTGGTTAAAAATTGACCTGGAATTTTTAGTAATACTTCTCTCAAATGTTTAAGATTTATATCCATATTTGCAGCCTTGAAATTAAGCCATTACTTCCTATAGATATTTATTATAATTACTACTTGTATTACTTTGAAGATGATATACGTTTCGGAAGTATATTAACCTCAAAATAGTCAACACTGTGACCTGTAAGTCAGGTCTTGGGTCACTCTTGTTATAAGTTATATTATTTTATAATTAAAATTAAATCTTTAACTTAATTTAGTTAATACGGTTCCAGGGTATTCCCTGGTGCGCCTATCCTCTTCCCCATCCCACTTGAACTCATCTTGTGTCCATGTCTCTGCAATTGTCATTTTCTGTTTAATTTACAACTATAAAATACAAAAGCCGCACTGTCATAAATCACAGAGACCACACTAATGTATAAATTACGGCCAAAAAATAATGCAAAAAGACCGCAAATTAAAATAATAAAACACACAAGAAGTAACATCAGAAACATAGCACGCACGCACACGGAGTTAAATTATTTAATTTATAAATGACATAAAGTTTAATTTGAATGCTTGAAACCGAAACCAAAAACCGACACGTGATCGAAATACTATATAATGGATCGATACTGAAGATATCGGTGGGTTAGCATTTACCTCTGCAAAAACACAAATTGTGGCCACTTTATGGGGATTGTTAGCTGTCCGCGGAATCGCTGTTAATTCGCAATTAAAATGCGCCGCATGTCAGTCCAACCGGCGAGCCAAATGTCATTCGTTGACATTTTTCCCCTCCAATCGAAGTCTATCAATATATTTATATATATTGTATATATATATATATATTTATAGAGGCGGTGTGACATCAAAGGGCCGGCAGAAATGATGGACAGAAGAGAGGCTACCTTTGAGCAGACTCTGACAGATATTCGCAAATAACAGCCACTATATACGGTCATAATAGAGAAGTATTGAGTATTTTAACTATATACAATTACCTATACTTACTTTCACATTTTAACACAACCAATAACATTAAAAGATGCTAATTTCAATGAAAAACTTACGTTTTATTGACTAAACTCACAAAGAAGAAGGCAAAAACATAGAATAAATAATTTAGAACCAATCAGGGAAATATTCCTCAATCAGTTTCCTTGGACTTAGATCTAATTTTGCTAATTTTGCTCTCGCAAATGGACCAAAAAATTGTTGTAAAAAAAAGATGTATATTACGTATACGTAATTTGTAACTCCTTTTCGCTCTTCATTGTGCGTTATGCAATCTAAATTGGGCAGCACTGGGCTCTATAGGCTAATAGGTAGGCTCTAATTATAGGAAACTCTGTAAGCGGCGTATACTTTTCGAAAGCACCTAAACTTAAGTTACGATCTAGCGAAATATCAAATAGTATTTGGGTTGCAATTTCACTGCTCCAGCTCCTCCTCCGACTCCTCCTCTGATCCGATCTGCGCTCCTCCAACTGCGTCTCAAAGAGACCCAGAAAACCCTAAGACAAAAAAAAGACTAACCACACAAAAAAAAAAGGCAACTTAAAGGCAAACCCCCGTGCCACAGATCGTTCAAGGCAAAAGGACTCCATCCTTGGTCCTACAGCTCCTCCAGACAACGGACATTGGTCAGCATGATCCTCGTCAGTCGCCAGACCTGCTTGGCGGCGTTCTCCAGGGCACCCGGTGACTTGCCCTTGAACAGATCCATATTGGGCAGGAAGTAGTGCGGACAGCGGCGGCACTGCAGGCACGAGATCAGCTGCAGGAAGATCCCATTGATGCGATCCGCGATGCAGTTCTCCTCCCACTCCATCTCGCGGGGATGCTTCTCGCATTCGTAGAGGAGCAGGGTCTTCAGATGATACGATGTCACCGGATTGCCAGGCAGATCCAGGTGACGATCTCGCAGGGTCTTCAGGATGCTCAGGCAGCGGCGGCGACTAGCTCCTGGAATTGAGAATCGAGGAAAATGGGAAATAAGTGCCTTTTGTTCAAGATAGATAATTATATTGTGAGATTGTGATTTAGAGGAACTTATGGAGTTTAAGGAATATCGATTTATTTTATGTTATGAATTTTATATCATTTCGTTAGGTTCTCTTGGAAATATTTCTTATATGGAGTCTCCAAAGAACAAAGCAATAGTTTTTACTTTTAAAGAGAGCTATCTTTTAAATTAATAAATTTACTATATGGATCCTTATATCTGTAGAAATAATATACTAAACTTAAGAGGAATTATATTTATACAAATATATATATAAATCTTATCAAACCGCAGTAGAATATATATTCTATAAACTACTTCAAAAGGATATTATGTTTGTTGTTCAAATTCTATACATTTCCCAGTGATCAATACATCAATTTGTTTTCCACCTGTATTGAAGTGAAATGATATTGACAGAACTATATAGTTTCGTTCATTCTTTGTCATATAAGTAAACATTAACTGATCGATGGGTTCGGTCATTAGTACTCTATCTATCTTAAGTACATCGCTCTCTAAATGTTTTGGTAAGTGTTTTGGGCCTTTCAACTGACTCATCCAATAAACAGACTAAAGCCTTTTACAGATCAAAGATATACTAGGTGTCCAATTAATTGACATTGATTAAATATATATATCAGGCTCTTTAATATATTTTTAATCATTTAAATGAAATTTTAGGCATGCCAAGTCCTTTAAAAAAAGGTTCTAGGAATGTATCTATCGAAGAAATCACTGAAAATATAATGAATTAACATATGCAATTATATTATATATGCATATTCCAAGGAGATATAGCTGATACCTGTTTCTGATCTAAGGGTTTTACTTACTTTCATTAAATTTATATCTTTATTAACTTGTTTTAAGAACTTAAGAACCTCTTTTATACCCAGCTGTAACCTTTTTTCTGGCTCGACTTTGATTGATCAACCATTTGTGTGCTGGAGTACTTATGATTTGGGTTTCAATCTCTCTCCTCCAAAGAGCTCTACACACATATGTATATGTCCGGTCGATCCGATTCCTAATTTATTACGTCCAAGTGCCTTTGGAGCACATAAATCATGGCTACGTTGGCACGGTGTCACGGCAGGCTAATCTCTTCGGCTCCGGGACCGATAATCAAAGTTTAGTTGCTGCTCCACACACATTTCGGCTAATCAATATTGAACGATATTGCCACAATATTGGCACTGCGAAACGGGGTACTCCATGTCCATGTCCATGTCCACGTCAAGTGGGAGGACGGTTAAGTTGGGGCAAGTGACAGTGCTAATTATAACCCACGAATGCGATATGGATATCCATATTCCCTTTGAGACAAAGCGAGGAAAGTTAATCAGAGTCTCTTTCTCTGGCATTAAATGAAATGACAAAACAAGCGGGGGAACATTCATGGGGATCAATATCGATCGGCAATCGGAATTTGAGATCGTTGTCAGGGCCTTAGAATTGATTTTGATTTCGACTTGGTTTCGGTTTCTGGCATCTGTCTCCAACTCAGAGTCTGACTTGGTTTTTGGCTTAATTTTCATGTTGTGTTTTGTTTTTAGCTCTCATCTTTCTTCATCTCTTAGCTTTTGCTGTTCTTTCTTCTGTGTTGCTTTCCTTCTTTCTACGTATCCCTCCTCTCTTATTTACTTGGGTTGCTTTCTGTCTGTGTGTCATCTCATGGCTGGGCCCCTCTGTTGTTTTATTTATTTGTTGACTTTATCTAATCGCCGAGATTTAAAATATTTATAAAATCGTTTAGAAATTTATTTATGGCCCAGCCATTGGCATTGTTCATGTGGAAACCCGTTTTCCGTTGGCCATACTAACCGACCAACTAACAGTCTACCGGCTGAAACTGAAACTTGGGGACCTGAGGGACTGTGACTACCGCGGGACTGCGCTCCGCTTATCTCTCGGGGATCAGCAGATTTGAGTGCGTTGTCGCGACCAAAAAGGAAAAGAATATATACAAAAAATCAGAGAACTAAAAACTGGTAACGGAGAACCCAGAATGGAGTACCTACAGACCCAACCCGGAGTCTCGGTTTTGGAGCAAGTAACCCCCCAAGTGATCGAACGCCAGATTTATGATCGTAGCCAGCCGGGCGTCGCTGACTCGTATCTCATATCATATCGGGAACCGATAATCGGATGTCTCGTTGGGCAGTCGTCGACTCCAGTAACCCCCGATCACCAATCACCAATCAGTAATCATCGATCGCAAGTGATGCCTCTTATCGCATATACTAATTGAATCTGCAATGCTGCAGGTTTTACACCAAACTATGCAAATTATGAGAGGCAGAGCATTAGGGAAGAGTTCTTGTCAATGATAGATAGGGTTATATTCCCTATAAATCTTAGTATATCATACCAGTAATATCAGAACTTTTTACTGATCATATACTATTAATATCTGAATCTAACTGAAAGTATCCTTTTATACAAAATAATATATTCTTCAAACCTATACAATATCATCTATAATAACTATAAGCAACTTTAGTTATATCAAAAACCCAATCCCATAGTTTGTAGATACTTTAGAAACCTCAAAACAGCTACTTGATATATATATTATATATATTTATGCCACAAAAGGGAATTTCCATCAAGCGCAATCATTATTCTTTCATTCAAGATCTAGCTTAAAGATCTCTGAAAATTTATACGGCGTTCCCCCGACTGGCGTTTAATTTACAACCAATTACGGGCGTATCGAGACCAAGTCGCTGATTTGATGGGAATAAATCAATTCAATTTAAGTGTGTCACTGATTACTGATTTGGGGGGGGGGAATACTACGTAAACATGCCCAAAATACGGGAGCTAGTCATTTGGCACTGGGAAAAATACCTATTATATCGAAAAGTTATAAATAGTTATTAAATAACTACATAACTTTATAATAATTATAGTTATAATGCTATAAGACCTGACCTTTTCCTACGTCTGGATTATTAAATATAATTGATGATGATTAGAAATTGTTTTATTTATTGCATACTAAGTATGTGCAATAGAATCGATTAACACATAGTTGTTCTAATAATTATACCACTAATGAGAACTCTCTTTTAAATTAATTGATTAATTGAAACCGAAACTTATAATAAGAACAGTTCTTGAAAAGCTTTAGCTCCATTCTAAAGGGCTGTAAAATTATATAGTAAATACTTTAAATCTTTTTAGAACTCTCTCAGCTGTAGATTTATATTAATTTAAAGTTCTGAAGGTAAATATAATATCTCATATTTAAATCTTGATATCATGTATAAGCTTTATCAGATGCTTTCCTCCAAGAACTGCATCTTCTGACAATCGATATTCAAATGTTTAGGGGATTCTATGAATATACCACCTTAAACCCCAATAGAACACAGTACTTTATATAATCCAAGTTATAGTCTATCCCCTATATCGTTATAACCCATATATTCCTTAGATTTTACTCAACTTCCCCCAACAAAGACACCTGACAAATGCCGACGGCAAATGGAACTCACCTTGCAGCAGCCGGTTCTCGGCATCGGTGAAGCTCAGCACCCAGGCGTCACCTTCCATGGCCGAATTCTTGCCCTGCAGGGCGATGCACTCCTTGGACAGCATATCGAATCCCTCCGTCTTGACCTCCGCCACGATATTGGGATGCGGCCAGGGTATGCCGGGCAGGGGCCAGTGGGAGGCAGAGCGCGGCCAGAGGCCGGCACACTTGAAGGCGGGCGTGATCTGGACAATGATGCGCTCCCGGATGCGCAGCTTCACCTCCGTGGTGTCGGCAATCATCTTGACGATGTCCCGATAGGCGCACTTGTCGCACGCCTGCGCCACCAGGGTCTGGAAGCGGGAGCGGATCTTCCTGGCCGACAAGTAGCCGCTGGCCGTGATGAACTCCACCCACAGGGACATGGAACGCTTCCGCCCGTCGCTCAGCTTGAGCACAGCACAGCCCGGCAAGGTGCCATCGTCCACGAAGTTGAGGACGCCCATCTGGTTGAGGTAGATGATGATCTCGAATTCCGTGGGCGAGATGACCTCGAGGCCCTCGAACCGGCCATTGTAGTCGTTCAGCGAGGAGATGAAGCGCGGCTCCTGCACTTCCACCTCCTTGAGCACATCCTGGACGATGCGGCAGACCTCCTGGATCTGCTTATGGATCTGCGCCTTGCGCACCTGGACCCGGTCCGCACAATACTTGTTCATCTGGTAAACCATCTTGGACTGGGCCGCGATCATGTCCGACGGCACTAGCATGGTTCTCCCGAGTGTCCCGATACCCAATCCCGATCCCGGCGGCGGCGGCAACTGCTGCTGCTGCTGCTGCTCCTCCTAGGGCTTAGTCTCTGCTGGCTGGATAACTGCTCTTTGCACTCATTACCTGGGGTCACACATGGGGGTCACCACAGCACACACACACACACACACACACACACGTACGCACACAACAAAAAAGAATCCAAGCGAGAGGGGGCAGACCAAGGAACGAACAAACGACGGACGGCACTTGGCTTTGAATTTCCAACTTTAAGCTTAACTTTTGGCGCTTTTCTTGGCCTTTCACGTTTATTGGATTTTTCTTGATGTTCTCTCCGCTGCTCTCTATCAACTTTTCCCTTTTGCGGTGTCTTTTCGCGCCGTCAACTGAACATTGACTGATTCCGCATGGCGTTCGCACCACAAGAAAAGTGTCTCTGCCGCCGCCGCCGCCTCCTCTGCCGCGGTTGGCTTCGCTGCTAGCTGCTGGCTCCAACTGGCTTGTGCGAGTGAGACAGCCCTCGCCATGCGCTCTGGGCCAACTGGTGTGCTCTCGCTCTCACTCGCGCCCCCAAAGCAATCATGGCTGGAGCTGCTCTCTCACCTTTCGCCGGGTTACTGGGCTCTCTCTCATGCCATACACTCACACAAATACTGGATCAACTACTTAATTTAAATTTTATTTTAAATATAAATATTATAAAAATAATAAATATCCAATGTTTATTGAATGTATTTTCAAGAAGATGATGTATGTGTAATGCCTGTAATGGCCTCAAGTGGTTACATTTAAGGCTACAAGCTCGATTATTATGACTTTAAGAGTAGCCTCACATATAGAGTTAATATAAATTACAGTTAATATTTATTAAAACTATATAAAATTGAGGAATTACACTTATTTTTCTGAGTGTAAAGTGCATAAAACACTTCTCGACTTGTCTGCTGTGTTGATCTTGCCGGCTATAGTTGTTTTTTGTTTAGTTTAGTCTGGCATTAAACCACCCCGCGTCTCTCATTGGCTCCGCCTTCTTCCTTAGCTCTCTTTCGGACACGCACACATGCGCAATAGCTCTTCCGCTGCCACACAGATAAGCACCCATACAGAGCCGCCTTTCCGTTTGTTTGTTTTGACTCTCCGGCTCGATGGCTCTTTTGGGGGTGTTCTGCCTGCCCCTCTGGTTGTGGGTGGACACGGTTGGCTGGCTAACTGAGTTATTGGGGGGTTTTTTGGGATATCTGAGAAAGGGGAGTGGGCAGATTGGAGACCCGAATGAGAGGGGTGGAAACTTTTGGAGCTCAGTTTGCAGATTAAAACTATTGATTTGGTGACTTTTTCCCCCTGCTGAAGTTGTGACCCCAATTTTTAAGGTATTAAAGGAAAATCTATAATTTAACTAAGAATTAAGGTAGAAAATTTGAATTAAGTCGGAGAAATATTCAAGCCTTTGGTAAGGTTACTAAATTCTACTTAAACAACTTTTGGTTTTATTGAAAATAAATAATAAAACCATCAGAAACAAGTGTGGAAAGTACAAATTAATGAAGTTTTGTAATTAAATTTATTTATGATAACCATTTAAGATATTATTGTTAACCATTTTCAAACACAATTATAAGGAGAACTTAATCTAAGTCAAGAAGATATTATATTAAGGAAATGAATTGCCTTAAAAGTACTATTTCTACACAGAACTCTATAGTTTTATAGAAATAATATAAATCTTTGATATTATTTATAGAAATATTACAAATCTTAGATTTCCTTGAACACTCAACATCATACAATTTGAAAGTAAATAGTAGAATAGTTTTAACTATTTGAAAATGAACTAAAAGCAAAGCTCTTCGGTTCTTACGTTCCTTTCTTTGAATGGAAACTCTATTGTAACCAAGTTATATCTACCGTAGCTTTGAGTAATTAATTTTCCCCGGGAAAATATCCTATAAGAAATGGTAAAAGTCTCTATTTATCTGACTCCCACCACCTATACCTTCCATTCCTTTTTTCCTACACGCCATATCTCTGGATTCCTTACCGAATTAATGCATATCTAATGTGATTAATGAGCGTTTAACACGAGCTTGTTGGACTCCACTCCACCCGGGGCTACGTCCAGTCCACCATATTTGTCGTGGTTCCAGGGTGGGGTCTCCACTCTGCCGGGGTCACCACTTATACTAGACTTGGCAATGGCCTGTCCACTCCAACATTAAGTTGCACTTTAAAGAGCGGCGGACAAATTATTATGTATAATTCAATTTGAACTGTGTGCCGGAACGTGCATTAAGATAATGCTAATTAACACCTCAGGGTAGGAGTCGAACTTGGACACTCTCTGGGCTCTGCGCTCTCTTTCTTCTTCTCCGATAAGACCCGAAATGGAGACTGGACAAGGGAGAATGGCATTGAGAATGGGAATGGATATGGAAATGGAAATGTTGATGGAGCGATGGAGAGGAGCTGCTGATAGGCAACACACCACATTGAGGGGCTGAAAAATGCGGCTGGAATCATTTTAATGGCCGCGTAAATGTGGAAAATTATCAAAGGAACACGAACTTAATTGCGGCCATTATCGCTTTTATGGCATATAAATTGGAAATGAATTATGCAACAGGAGACCAGGATAGCCCCAAGAGAGGGAGAGGTCTTCATTAGTGCTCAAGGTCAGCATGGTAGCTTCTCAATATTATGTGTATACATATATGTATATTGGTTGGTAGTATATAGCCCTATCACCGATCAATGTACAGGATTTATGCGTGTTAGTTATCGATCGGCGGCGATACTTTTTTCGTTACCGATTTCCATCCTTTCCGATTGCCCAGTAGTCGCATCTTTAATTAAATTGTGTATGTTGTGTCGCCATAAGATTCTTCCAAAAAAAAACGACTTCATCTGGGTTTCTTTGGAGGCTTCTTGTTTATCAGATGCACGAGATCTCCACCTTCAATCCCTTCCTGCTCCGGCACAGAGAGAAATAACTTATTAATTTCTCACCTAAGTTTAGAGTATGAAATTGATAAATTATATACCACGTAATTCTTGATTATATTCCCTTATCATTGGTTATTTTTGATGTATTTAGTATAATTTCTAGTTTGTATTATTTAAATATTATTTGCAGTGCCTTCACATACGCTTTGTGGTTCTGCGGTTCAGCTTCAAAATGACCAAATGGCGGAAAATTAAGCCGGAGCTGGTGGAAAAGGAGGAGAACAAGGAGCAAGCAGCAGCAAACACAGAAGCGACAACTGCAGCACAGAGATTGCAATCGCTGGCAGGCTACACATCCCTTTTTCCTCCACCAGCAGCTGCTGCTGTTGCTGCTGCTGTTGCTGCTGCTGCTGTTGCTGCTGCTGTTCCTACACGACACTCTGACCCCCTCCTGTCTGAGCCTTCGTCCTTTCCCCTAACCATTCCTGGACTCACCCCTTACATTATCCACTTCGTGGCGCTTTCGCACGGCCGACACTTTGACGGGGACAAGTTCATTTATCCGGAGATGAAAGGACAAGATATATAAGTCCAGGTTGTGTCAGCTTCCTTCCAGCAAATTCTACAACATTAACAAGTAATTACTGCAAATATACTTGGAGCTATTTGTAAGGTTTCTTGTTGATTTTTAGAAAAGGTTTTAAGCTGCAGTTTTAATTTGATTTAATATGCATTTCATATAATATAATACACATAATTCAAGACGTGATTGTATGCTAAGACAGAATTATCCATCCATCAAGTTTCGAATGAGTTTAATCAATAATAACACATATAATTATTAAATTTGAATCTATATATCATAGATACAACTTGCTACAAATTATCTTTGCTTTGACATCAAAAACTTATAAGTAACTATCACAAACTATTAAAAATATTGAGAAATATTCTCAGAAACCACCGCACACGATCGTTCCCTTTCTTTTGTTAGAGAAGTTTGGATTACCTGGAGTGTATGTCTCATCGGGTTACCTCAATGGATCCCTGCTCAGTGACATTTCCCCCGATCTCTTGTGGCTCTTGGGCTTCATAATGAATGGCGGAGTGAAGAAAGGACTGAGACTCGGCTTAATTAGGCCAAACAAAGATGCACCTTGCCATGCCTCAGCGCTCATCGATCATTTTCCGATTGAACTGACCGAGCCCAGATAATCCCTGAATATACGTAAGAAACCCCTTTTTTAAACCCTTTTCAGCAGTCTTTCTCCTGCCATTTACGTACTATTTTTTAGTGCAGAGAGGGAAAAGAGGGTATAGAACTAAAAGAAAACTATCTATAAACTATATGTATTTTTTAGAGATTTTTATAGACAATTTTTTGGATAAATCAAAGCTTAAAAAACTCATAACTAAGCCAAAAATGCTTTAATTTTAAATCGGAAAGCTGTCCTACGCTAGTTTTTAGAAGGTTAATAAATCTGCTTACTCAGTTTGAAATGCCCAATTTTTGAAAATTTTAACGATGTAACCCCTTTCCATTTTTTCAAAAAATTGACCATTTTTGAAAAAAAAATGTTTCCTGCCGAAGATAGCTAGAAAGATTTCCCCTGTTGATCCTGATCACGAATATATATGATTCATAGGGTCGGAAATGATTCCTTCACATAATAACAAGCTTCTGACTGATATTATTATTCCCTTGTAAGGGTATAAAAATAGTCTTAAAACAGAGTATTAAACAACAAATTGTCAGCACTGTCTGGATCACAGAGGAGTGAGGGAGCCTTAAACCATTGTGCACTGGAGTTTGTCATTCGATATGATGGCCCCGTTGACAGGGGATTGTTTTGTTCAATTCCAAACCGATGAAGACAGCCGCGCGATGGCCTGGCGCTTGTCTACATGATATATATATAGTATATATGCTCCTGATTCCTTGCCTTATCCCCCTAAGTTAACCCTGTTCAACCCGACTCTTGTGGCATGTGCAAAGGTCAGCTGGCTGCAATGGCGAGGGCATTGGCATTCCACGGCGGTTAGCATTTACCTGGTCCTGGCTTACCCTTTCCCCTTTCTCCCTTTCTCTGTGTGGCGGAGGCCACCTCCACCGATCTCCCCAACTGGCCAAGTGGCGCCTGCATCCCGTCGTGCGTCGTCTGCATATGCGGAATATGCGTGAGCGTCGCCACGAAATGAG